TACTTTTTACATGGTCTAAAAAGCTACCTATTTATATAAAATACAGTATATAGAAAGATATAACTAATATGTCTAATATATAGTATATGTCAAATATGTCTGATATGTCATATATGTCAAATCTGTCTAATATATCTTATTTGTCGATCATGTCAGATATGTCATATATGTCAGAAATGTCAGATTTGTTAGATTTGTCAGATTTATCAGATTTGTTGATCATCTGCGCTATGTAGGTCCTATCATATTTTATTTGTTTACATTACTTCCCGCTTAAGATTTCTGCTCCTGTAGAAATGTCAAGAGTTTTCAATAGTAGAGCCTAATATTCGCTAGACTTCAGTTGACAAACTATGGTCAAGGTTAAGCGTTGAGTAGTGAAGATTTGTTGGACTCCTAAGTTTTCAAAAAGGTGATAAACTCAGATAGCAGTTCAGTTATAATGAGCAGGAGAAGTAGTTGCAGCATCAATAAGTTGACCTAAATAATAAGCGTTTACAAGAAATAAAGAACAAAACCTCATACATGTAGAGTGAAGTAAAGTTTGATATGTCAATTATACTTTTTGTGTTAACGTTACATCAGTTTGATAAGGTGATGTCATCGGTTGAATTTCTTTGTCAGAGAGGATTATAGAATCTTGAAGTTCTTTTAAGACAATTTTACTATTAATTGATTCCATTATTATCACAATGGTCTAAAAGGTATTATAATAATAGCATATACTATTTATAATAATTTTTAATGTTGATTATCATTCGATGATAATCTGAGGCTCTCATTCAGTCTGTTTTAAATATGGTTTTAAAAGATCTACATGTGTGAGGTTCTTTCTAACTCGTCTATCTAAAGTATGAAGTTTATAAGTATCAGGTCTCATAATATCGTGAATATAAAAAGGTTCATCAAATTTATCTTTAAATTTATCTCCATGAATGTGTAATTGTGTTACATTAAATAATAAAACTTTATCTCCAATTTGATAAGAAATTTCAGGTTGATCCTTATTGTAACGTTGCTGTTGCTATTGTTGTCATTGCATTATATTCTGTTGTGCATTTAATAGTCATTGTTGTAATTGCAATGTGATTATCTGCTGATGCTTTTCCATAGCATTTGATAGGTTACTGATAGGAGAAGGTCGTCGCAATTGTAGATCTATTGGTAGAACTGCTTTTCATCCATATAATAATTCAAATGGCTCAAAATTCGTTGTTTCTTACTGTGCTATACGATATGCAAAAAGTGCTGAAGTTAAATACATATCCTATTCTCTGTGGTGTTATTCAGCATACTTTGCTAAAATTGTACATAATGTTCTATTAAAATGCTCTGTCAAGCTATTGGTCTGGTGGTGATACAGTGAAGATAATCTATGTTTAGTTCCAATTATATGTAATAATGCAGTAATTAATTCATTTGAAACGATGTAGCTTTATTAGTTAATATCTCTTTTGGCATTCTATGTCGACAGATGATTTCATTGTACATAAATTGCATGGTTATTTGGGCAGTACAATCTGATGTGGCACTAGCTTCAACCTATTTAATCAAATATTCAGTTGTTACAATGATATACTGATTTTCTTTTGTAATACGTGAAAGTGGTCCTACATAATCAATTTCTACACGATCGAATGGTTGTTCAACAGGTATAGGATGCAGGGGTTCCTTGGGGTTTGGCCTTCCTTATTATTAGCATACATCACATATTTGTATGCAATTTTCAATAGTTTTGTATATACTTGGCTAATAATAACAAGAGGCAATCTTGTTATATGTAATATTTCTTGCTAAATATCTTCCTAAAGGTTCATTATAGATGTTATATAAAATACGTTCGACTTCATTTGATTTTACTACAAGTAATGGTTGAGCGAATTGTTTGCGATTATGTCTATAAAGTTGTTAGTTTTATACGAAATAATGTTATGCCTGTTTTTGAATTGCGAGTTGTTGTGAAGGAATAAGATTTGGAGGGTATGTAAGTTGGGTAAGATATTGAAATAATTGATGATAAGTTTTGAATTCCATGTTGTTGAGCTGCTAGTCACACTATTAGCATTTTCGCTTTCACTCTAAAAATTTTAATAATTAATTAATTTACTGTAAAGGAAGTCGAGACAATGCGTTTGCGTTTGA